GGGCTGAATTGTTACTCGTTACTGATGTGTAAACGTAATGATAGATAGCTCTGTCAGGGTTTGGGAAGCTGGCTCCTCATTGGCCGATTTGACCGATCAAGAATAGCCTGTAAAAAAACACCTCCCAAAAGATCGTGAAAGTAAGTAAAGTAAGGATATCTCACCTGTCAGGCCGCTCCAGCTGACCACCTCCCTCTGGCTCTGGTGGCGGACGTAGAAAACCCGGTCGCCGTCTGTGGTGAGGGCGGCGTGGGCGGAGCCTGCGGGGATGTGGGCGGCTGGTCTGTGCTGGGGGTCGTAACTCAGACTCCAGAGGCGGACGCAGGCCGCCGCCGCCGAGGCCGACGCCACCAGGCCTCCGAGGAAAAGCACGCTGGTGACGGGGGCGTCCGAGCCACACAGCGAGTCCAGCAGCGCCCCGGTGGTCACCGACCAGATCTGCAGGGAGGTCAGAGGTCAATAAACGCCGGAGGCTGACTCTGTGGTTGCTTTATGTCACTTTGTGGTGGTTTTATGTCTCTTTGTAGTTTTGTCTTTTTGTGGTATTTTTGTGATTCTTTGTGGTTGTTTTGTGTCTCTCTGTGGTTGTTTTATGTCTCTTTGTGGTATTTTTGTCGTTCTTTGTGGTTATTTTGTAACTCTTTATGGTTATTTTGTAACTCTTTATGGTTATTTTGTGACTCTTTATGGTTGTTTTATGTCTCTTTGTGATATTTTTAGGACTCTTTATGGTTGTTTAAGAACTAAACCAGAGGGCTGACTTCATGTGTGCTGCATGGCTTCTCTAGCTTAAACCCTTGCTGGCAGTGGGGGCTGCTCCCCGGCTGTCCGTCCTCACTCTGACGAGCTGGTCGGCCGCCCCGGAGGCCACCTGCCGGCCGTCTGAGGACACGCAGGCAGACAGAACGCTGTCGTCGTGGTGCAGGTCCAGGAACCCGTCCACAGAGTGGCTGCTGAGGTGGAAGAGGCTCAGAGTGCGCTCACAGCCTGCAAGAGGGACCGGGAGGGGGTCAGTCTTATCCAAGAGAGGAGCTGCTGCTCCTGCTGTCGGGGGGGGGGGGGGCTGAGAGTGGTACCTGCTATCAGGATTTTCTCATCCTCAGAAGCTGAGAGCAGAGAGGGACGCAGAGGAAACTCAGCGGCGGAGTGTTTGCCCGTCCTGGAGATCTGCTCAGGGAAGAGATTCAGCTCTCATGTGTTCCGCGTTTTAGGGTCAGACAGGTAAACAGGCTGTTACCTGCTAGCTGCACTCTGTGATTGGCTATATACAACACACCTGATACAGGAATCCTTCCGCTGACACCACAACCACTGTCCCTCCTTTGGGCAGCGTCACCCAGTTTGTTGGAGTCACACCCCCCACTGAGTCCTCCAGCCAAGCCTCCACCGATTCAGACCCATTGACTGGGTCAGAAATTCTGACCTGACCCGGCTCACTCAGGGACACCACAGACTCTCCCAGAACCCCCAGAACCAGCAAAACCCGGTCGGTGCCCCTGGGGTGGAGTTCCTCTCCATCCGACCTCCACACCTTCACCTGCAACAATAGGACAGGTAACACCAAATTAAGTAAAAAAGAGTCACAAAACAACCACAAAGAGTCACAAAACAACCACAAAGAG